ATAGAAACAACACCCTATCTTAGGCAAAAGCAGCTCACAGGCTGGCAGGGAGGCCACCCAGGAACTCAGTGTTCTCCAAGTAGAGATAAATTCAATCTTAGGAGCTTCTTAGGAGATAAGCTCCCTATAAAGGAAGGGAGGGAGGGCGGGAGGAATCTGGAGATTGTGCCTCCTGTAAAGCAACAGCCACCTCTGAAACACTTTAAGGAGACAAACAATTAACTACTGAATTCATCCCAATACTCCAAAGCAATGAAAAACAAACACAAATGAAAGGGATGCCCTAGAAAATGGTCTGGCTTCTTACAAGTTCCACATAAGGGCCCTCCTTGGTGGCGCAGTGGGTTAGGACACAGCACTCCAAGCTGGCCGCAGAGGCTTACTGAAGCCTGCAAGTTCTATCCCTGGTCCTAGAGGTGACCCACATGGCGTGGCAGACCTCTCCTGACCCGCCCGCTGCTCCCCCAGCAGCCTGTTCTGCTCAGCCCCCCAGACCTGCCTGTTCTGCTCCCCACTCTGTCTTTGGTGAATCCTCTCACCACCCCTGCACCTCTGGCTTGTATCCCAGTTCTGTATTCATAAATAAATCTTAAAAAAAAAAAGTTCCACATAAACATACCTTATGACTCAGCAACTACTTTCCTAGGAATCTACCTAAGTGAAAAGGTGTGTCCTCACAGAGACACCTACATCAACAGACACCCGAATATAGGTGCATTGTTTAGGATAGCTTCAAATTGGCAGCAACTCAAATACCCATCATCTGTAATCCTACTCAGAAATCAAAAAAGGCAAATCATGCCATTTGCAGCAACATGGATGGAACTGGAAGGGGTTATGCTCCCTTCCTGGTGAAATGAACCAGCAGGAAAAAGGAAGATATTGGATGGTTTCACTTAGAGAAACCAAACAAGGGGTAGGCGGAGAAAAAAAGACAAAACTAGCAGGCAGCTATAACTCAGACACATGCATCAGGAGAAGGCGAGGCAGAGGGGGGGTTCAAACGCGGGGGGAGCACAGGGACTATGGTGAGGGCTCACGGGTGACTTGGTGGTGGGAATTTTATGGGGACTACATCTGAGAAGAGAAGTCAAACACTGTACAAAAGTGAACAGCAGTGTGACACACACACACACACACACACACACACACACACACACACACAGATAACCCATACTTAATAAAAGATCAGCCAGATAACAAAATGACCATGATCTGATGAGTTAAACAAAATGTGGGCTGTATCCATCCATCTACATGCTGGATTACTACACAGCAATTACAGGAACAAATGACGAACACACACTACAATTGAATGAGCTTGAAAAAAAAACCAAGAGAAAGAAAGCAGCCAGAGTCAAAACACTCAATATTATATGCGTCTCTTTACATGAAATTTCGAGAAGTGACCCATTTACAGAGGATGAAAACAGATCAGTGGTTGGTTGCTTTTGGCTGTAGTAGAAGTGGGGTTAACTATAGTTGGGCACTAGGAGAACTTAGGGGGGTGATAAAAGTGTCCTAAAGCAGGATTGTGGTAATGATTGCATAGCTCCTTGAATCTACTAAAATCACTAAATCGTGTGTCCACCATGGGTGAATTTTAAGGCATGCAAATTAGATCTCAATAGAGTTAATTAAGACAAAACAAAAATCTGGTGCTGACCCAAACTTCTTTCCATGGCTGAGCAGTTGTGCAGGAGGGGGTACAGAGGTGGCATTTTCTAGCAAATCCCAGGCACTGTTGCCATAAAATATCCCATGTGACTCTCCTTTGTTCACTTTTCCAGCCCATCCAAGTTCTCAAGTCTACTAACAGCTGTCAGCTTTGACAGGGAACTGCAATTAAGAGGACAGTACTAATATTATCTTCATTTTCCAGGTGAGGAAACAGGATCAGAAAGCGAAATACATTGCTCAAAGATGCACAGCTATTAAGTGACCCAACTGGGACTAGAGCCCGAGTGGGCCTCTCTGATGCTCAAACTGTGTTCTTCCCCACTGAATGTGCCCTGGGGGACATGCACAGTGCTTTGGGGTAGGCAGAATGAGGGTAGCAAACACTACCTTTCACTCAGGTGTCCTCGTCAGTGCTCCCAGGCCCTGGCAACCACTGAGCAAGGAGGGCCTTGACTCCATAAGCAGCATGCACCACACTGTTGGGGACCGAGGCTGGCATCTGGCGTCTGTCAGCAGCCATAAAAAGGTGAAATGGAGTCCGGATAGAGAAAAACATCCGGGCTGTAAAAGGCATGTGGGAAGAACTCCTTGCCCCCACCTTTTCTTTCTCCTCTTTCTTCTCTCACCCACCTATTATCTAACCACTGCTCCATTCTCGCCCATTTTTGTCCCTCGCGAGAACCATGTTATCAAACACTGCTACATGTCTAGTGTCCATTGGCTTTCTCCCTTCCCGACTTCTGCATCCCCCACCTCTTGTATTTTATATAAACCAGATAAAGAAAAAATAAACTCTCTCTCTCTCTCTCTCTCTGTTCTGATACACATGTGTGACTGTTTTGTTCGCCGGCCCTGGGGCTCCGACTCTCCGGCCTTGCTGGTCAAGGTCCCCCGCACCACACTAACAGGAGTCTGTTAGTTCCAGCATCAGTCTCCACCTGGAGCACGTGGTTCCAAGGGCCTGTCCCGAGCATCCTGGGGCTTAGCCACCATGAGCCAGCAATTAGGACGAGATGACCCCAGCTTCAGCCACAGGCTTTCTCATGTGTTTTTTTTTAAAGATGTATTTATTTGTGCATACAGAACTGGGGTACAGGCCAGAGGCTCAGGGGTGGCGAGAGGCTTTACCAGAGTGGGGAGCAGAACAGGCAGATCAACGAAGTACACTGCTGGGGGAGCAGCAGACGGTCAGGAGAGGTCTGCCACGCCATGTGGTCACCTCCGGGGCAGGCAGGGATCAAACTCATGCGGAAGCAGCTTTAGCTTCTCAGTGCTGTGCTTTAACCCGCTGTTCCATCAGGGAGGGCCTCACGTGTGTTTCTTGCTTGAGTTTTCATCGGAGGTGCACGTTTCCAGGGGCCAAGCAGGGGCCTCCCAACGCCACCCTGTCTGCCCAGCACACCTGGACCCTGCTCGGCAGGGAGCTGACAGCTGCTTCCTCGACACTGGTCCTGGGCAGACATTCACCTCCCTTCCATATAGCATGAGCGAGCAGCTTCCTCCAGGTCCAGGCATGCGGAGGTCTTGCAGAGTTGGAGGAAGCACCTCCTACGGCCACCCCACAGGCCTGCGGGCGCCTGAGTAGCCGTGCCCCTGGAGGGGGCCGCCCACACACCAGGGTTCAGACAGCGCAAGGCAAAGCTTCCGTCTGCCCTGTTGCCTTCAGCCTGGGGCATGGCTCCAGCTTCACACAGACAGGAGCCGTCCTTCGTCTTGGCTTCTGCCTCTGCCACTCTCCTCCTGGAGCTCTGCTGAAGTACCAAGCAGCAGCACCACAGATGGGAGCTGCCATCTATAAATGTGTCTAAGCGCAGTGCAGGGGAGACAGAAACAGGTATTGAGGGCACAGCAGGGTCAGACTACTTTGTTTCGAGTTCCAGCCCTGACACTTGGGCGCTGGGTCATCTTGAGCTACTCATAGCCTCTCCCAGCCTGTTTCCTCATCTGTAAGCCCGAGTAGTGGCAGCGTCTACTTCCCTGGTGTTCAGGAGGCGTAAGGCACATCTCACGTGCACAGAGCCCAGCAGCTGGCACCAGGTGAGCCCTCGGACACCTGGGACCTGGACGCTGCTGTTGTAAGATAAAGTGGTCACCCTCGCGGCGAGCCACACGCCAGGGCAGGCCGAAGACCACCCAGTTATCAGCGTCTCAAGGCGGTTGAACTTGCCAGTAATTAAGGTACTGGCAACAGTCTTTCTCCTTGGGCTTCAGAATAATGCAGAATCAAGAAAATTCAGCCTGGACAGAAACTTCTCAGTGACCACGGGGATGATTCCTAAGAGGGGCTCTCCGGGCTGAGTGTGACTCTGGAGAAGGAGGGGAGGGGACCCCACAGTCACTTATTCCCTGAGTTTGTAATTAACAGACAAGCGTTCTCTGCCCGCTCAGAGCTGGCCTGGCTCACAGGGAAGGGCGCCGCCATCACTGGAAAATCCCCCCCAGTGGGTTTTTGATGTGGAGACTCTTTGTTTTTCTGAATTTTAATGAAGGGCTTTCCAGGCAGGTGAACAGCACTCAGCAGTCCTGGTGGCTGAGGAGAGGGGTTTCAGTTGTGACCGGTGGCCTGAGGGGCCTTATCCGAAGTGGCATCTAGGAGAGGCAGGCAGAGAGATGTCGCTGTCCTCGGACAATATCCCTGTCCTCAGACATGTCTTATTAGGGAGAATGAGAAAAATAAAAAGCCCAAGGCATCTGTTTAAAGGGTTGTGCTCAACTCCAGATTTTGGCACATTTTGGAAGCGGGCAGTGAGAACGCTTGGGAGAGCCGTGGAGACAAGCAGCCTGGAACCTGCAGGTCAGAGGGTGTCCCAGGCTCCTGCAGAGGTGTGTGTCATGCTCTGGGCTGCCAGGCTGGCCCCTGCTAATGCGGCCGGGAAAGGAGGCCTGGGGTCAGAGGTGCAGTGCTTGGGTTGCAGGACAAGGGGAGGAACGAGTCAGCAAACCCTGATGTGAAGAACAGAAGCCGCAGCTTGCTATGTCCTCAGCTGTAGCCGCTCAGGAGCACAAAGGAGACAGAGCAGGTTCCCTACCGACACTGGATTTCACAGCAGGAAAGGCATCACGTCAGGCCCCCCGGCAGGCCTCTGCAACTCCCGGGGAGTCGGGCGGGGTGGGCTCTGACAGGCAGCCGCTCTGGGCACGTGCTGGGTGGGCCTGTGAACTGAACAACTCTCAGGAGCTGCACCAGCTCTGCACCCCCAGATCTAACTTGCCGCCCTACTCGACAATGGGGAGTCTTCCCATCAGACTGCTCAACAGCTGCTCTGCTGACCCATTTTCCCCAGAGGGCGTTGAAAGAACTGGAAGCAATGGCCGGAGAATAAAGCAATTTATTACGAGTGATCCAATGTGGTCTACTGAAAATAAATATTTTTATCACAAAAATACTCCATATAAAAATTCTAAACGGCTTGCAAGATTCTTTTTAAGATTTGCGCTTATTGCATTTTTTCCAGTCCACAGCAGAGAGGATTCAGGCCCAGAAAAGCCGGACCCCGGGCTCAGGGGTGTGAGGGCTGTGCCACCGGGTCCCCCTCGGTCTGTAGCAGGTCCCACTCGGTGAGGAGCTCCGAGGACACCTCAGTGTACAGTCGGTCCCAGTCCCAGCTGACGTCGTCCTGCAAGAGGGTTGTCACTGGGGAAGTGAAGGCAGGCCTGTCCCCTGCATCCGTACAGCGCCCTCGGCCAAGACCGTGAGGAGACCTGCGGCCACCTACCTCCCGGACTTCGTGCTCTGGCGCCAGGACCTTGGTGAGGAGCTTCAGGTCGATCTCTCCATCCTGTGAGTGCAAAACAGAAGCCACGCTGTGCGTGCTGGGTCCTCAGAAACTGCCTCTCGGAAGGTGAGGAGGACCGGGTGGCGTGAGAAGAACCAACCCAGACCCACAGAAATGCCTCGCGAGAGTAAAATGTGAGTGTTACGCACGGCCACTGAGAAGTGAGGGAACACCCTGTGTGTTTGAGGCGGGCACTCTCTGGGGAAAGGCCAACGCTTGGCAGACTGGCACCACTTAGGCGTTTCTACTGATGCCAGGGGAGCACCGGGGCACAGGTGGGAGCCCGGTCCTGAGCAACACTGGAATGAAGATGTTTGGTCCAGAGGTGCCGGGGTACCCCAGAATGCTGCCCCCTCAAAGGACCAGCTGCCAGGCAGCCCCCAGGATCCATGACGTGCTGTATGGATGGTGCCTGGAGCCGGGCCCTCTCTGGGGAGCCTGTTCTGCTCACCAAGGTCTGAAAAGCCGAGTACTTCATGAGGTCATTGTCCAGGTCACGGTAGGTCATCACCCGGTTGACCTGGATGCTGCAGGAAAGACAGAACTATGAGGAGGAGACACTGGCCGCCCAGTTCAGGAGAGCTGCGGGCCTCGTCCCCAGAGCCTCCCTGGCAGGTGGGAAGTACAAGTGGGAAGGAAATTTCTCACAGTTTCTCAGGGATCCCTGAGTGGAGCCCACAGCACCCGACAGACACCAGGGGGCGGCACCACACAGAGGGTGTGGGGAGCGAGCTCCTTCAAAGTGGACAGTCTCCCGCCAGCTCCACCCCTACTTGGCTGTACCTGGGCGGGGCTGCCACTTGCAAAACAAAGTCTTCCTCCTGAACTTCTTCCAGATCTGGAATAACAGGGATATCTACAATGAGAGAGTGGGGCAAAGGCGTCAGTGGCACGGCTGAGGTCTTGCCTGCTTCCCCGGTTACCACCTTCCACCCACCATCCACGGTGCTGAGGCTGCCGACGTCTCTGGTCTGTGGGGGCTCACAGTTAGCACTGAGCACCACACTAGAGATGTAAAAGTTCAACAATTTCCAGACTCCAGGCCTCACCCTAGACACTATTTTTTCGAAGACATCTTAAATGACCTTGTACATGCTCCAGGTTGGGGACCACTGCAGTGGTTCTCCAGGGGGAGAGGGGAAGAAACAGAGTCCCAGATGGCCCTGGGGATGTGATGTGCTCATTGTCAGGACAGAGGGAAGCAGCTGTGGTGAGCCATGAGCAAGCCCAGAGTGGGCAGACAGCAGACTGACAGCAACAGTGGCCCCAGGGGATGGCATCACCAGCCTCTCTGCACGACCGAGGGCCACACATGCACGAGCTCGTCCTTATCGCTGCCCTCAACACAGTCCTGGTCACGGCCACCAGCTTGGACCTGATGGACACGCTGCAGCTAATGACATGACCGGGATCCCCAGCGGTCTCCCAGGGAACAGGGTCTCCGCTTGCCAGGTCTCACTGAACAAACACTGACTTTAAAGGTAACTGTCTTTGGGCCCTCCCTGGTGGCGCAACAGGTTAAAGCACAGCACTGTGAAGCTATGGCAGCCACTACAGCACAAGTTCAATATCTGGACAGGGAGCTGACCCACATGGCGCGG